AGAGAGAGAGAGAGAGAGAGAGAGAGAGAGAGAGAGAGAGAGAGAGAGAGAGAGAGAGAGAGAGAGAGAGAGAGAGAGAGAGAGAGAATAGGTGGGGAGGGTGGTTCACTTAATTTCTGCATAACGACCAGGAGGCCGATGTTCTTGTGTTTGGTGCGGAATTACTCGTGACGATATATATATTCTCATATGCACATACACACATTTATACACATATATATCGACATATATATCGACGTATATATACACATATATTCACATATACGTACATGCATATTATGTCAATCCACATACCCCTGTACAGAACCGCCTGGCCGCGGGCGAAGCCGTGATGGGCAGCGGGCCTTTTCTTTATTTTGGTTAATTTTATTGGGTGTCATAAGTTGTATTGAGAAGTGGCCATTAGCGGACCAAGTCATATGTGCGATTCTCAGCCTCCAAAAACTCGTGTATGCCGCCTTCCACCTCCTGTTCGTATCTCCCTTTTCTCTCTCTTCCGTCCTTTCTCTCCCGTCTTCTCTCTCCCAACTCCTCTCTCTCTCTCCCAACCCCTCTCTCTCCCAACCCCTCTCTCTCCCAACCTCTCTCCCCCTACGCCTCTCTCTCTCAACCCCTCTCTCTCTCTTCCTCTTACCACGACTACCATCTCTACCACCACTCTCTCTTCCTCTCTTATCTGACAAGTTGAGGAGGGAAAGGAATGAAGAGGCATCGCGAGGGGGAGCAGGATGATGACGAACATAGAACGTGTGTCGAGGGAGGAGGGGGAGAGAGAGAAGAGGGAATGGAGAGCGGGAAACGAGATTTTGACAGCATTTGATGTGTTATTCGACCGGGAAAGGATTGAATTTGGAAAACTCCAAATTTGATTTTTGGCGGGAGGAGACGAAAATGGTTTCCCTCCACATCTCCTTCATTTTCTTTTTTCTCCCCCGCCCCTCGCCTCTAGGATGGATCTTTAGTCTTTTTGCTATGGAGCCAGTCGCGCGGGTCACTCACGGAGGGGAATTTCCGAGGACGAGGTTTCTCCCACTTTTTATCACCCAGATTCTTGCTTCCCCCCCCTCCCTCCCCCCTACCCCCTCCCCCTCCAGATTCTTTGTTCCTGACCTTGGATTACGAAGATCGATGGCCAGGAACGAAGAATCTACCGGTAGGCAAGTGGAACCTTGCCCCCGGATTAGGGTTACTGCAAGGACAAGGACAGCAGGATGAAAGGAAATGAGTGAAGGAAACCAAAAGTCTCAACTTCTTTTGAGCGAAAACGTGAAAGAGAGGGGGGGGGGGGGGGSGARGGGGGGGGGGGGGGGGGACCTGCGTTGACATTTGAAAATATCCACAAACATGCCTTTTTACATCTAAAATGAAGCCCCGCCCAGATTGCCTCTGTCCAGGTTCACGGTTAAGGGTATATGAAGAATCTTTCCTCCTCCATAAGAATTTGCATCTCCAGGTTTCCGAAGGATCTGTCGGGCTTTAGCCCCTGCCTCTGTCCAGGTTCACGATTAAGGGGATCCAAGGTGCAGGCACTCGGGGCCGGTCCGATCGAAGCGAGAAAGATATTTGACCTTCGCTCCGCTACTCTCGACATGCACAAAAGGCAAAAGTCATGGTGATGAATCTTTCCGGGTTCTAGGGGAAGATTCACGATCCTTTTGCACTTTCGAGAGTAGGTGGAGTGTGAGAAACGTAATCGTGTGACCTAAGGGAGTCAATCTTGAGCGTCGATTATGGCCCCCCGCTCTACCATTAACCACATGCACAAAAGGCGAACGATGGCGTTGTATCTGTCCATGTTCTAGTGGAAGATTGTGTCATTTCGCTCATTTGATGAGTGGTGGAGCGGCAGTATATCTGCCCCTCCTCCCACCCTCCATGGTCTTCCACCCTCCCAGCCCCCCCGTCCTCCGCCTTCCATTCCGATTTTCAGGATCCTAGGGTCACGAAGCCCATTTAAGACGTGATGAGTGCCAAATGTCGTTTTTTGTTTTTGTTTGCTAACAGCTGAAAATGGACTTGATTAATCATCATCATCCAGCTTACCAAATTTGTACTGCTCAACCGCACGCACTGAGGAGAAGGGCCTAGTTGCAGTACTCGCCATCCGCCAAGATTTCCAATGCATCTGGACAAAACAAGGTCCAGATGCATTCAAAATTTGGGCGGATGGCGAGTGGTGCAACTGGGCCCTAAATAAGGATCTTCAGAAGCGGCGGGACTACGATGAGCAAATTGATTCCTTTCTTACTTTTCTCAACGAGAGCGCTCAGTTCTTGAGCGGATTGAGGAAGTCTGTGCTCTTTTTTTTAGCAAATCCAAGTAAATTTGCATTTAGATTGAGTTAATTTGCGTTGTATTAATTGAGCAAATTGAGTATATCTGCTTGAGGGCGGGGGGAGGCGGACCCGCTCCCTTCATTCTCGTTTCGGGATTCCCCCCCCCCCCCTTCTCGTTCTCGTTTCAGTATCTTTAGTCTTGTAATAAGACAACATGAGAATGTGCAAGGAGTGATGATGGGCTATAATGGCGTTGGGGGAGGAAGAGGAGTAGTAGGGAAAGGGAGGAGGAGGAGGAGGAGGAGGAAGAGGAGGAGGAGGGGGGAAGGAGGAAAGTTAGACGGGTGGAAAGAAGAAGGGGAAGAGAGTAAATGAGGTGGAGGAGGAAACCCGGAGAATGTATTGTTTTTTTTTTTTCACTTAATTTTTACTTTCCATTGCTATATATGACCTTTTTTTTTCCCCTCATCCTGTTCTTGTCCTTTTTCTTCTCCTACCTCCGATTATACTTCTCACTTCTCCTATCTTTGTGATTTTTTTCCCTCGGTTTGTGGTCCCCCCCACCTTGACAAGTGCTGGAGCGCAACCAGCTTGAGAGCATAGCGTTGGCCTCATTGCTTTCTCCTTCGTCGTCGTCCTCCTCCTCTTCCTCATCTCGCCTCATTTTCTTCTTCTCCCTGTGTGAATTTCCTCTTTAAATGAACGTATAATTGAGGTTTCTTTGATTAGTCAAAATCTATGCTTCCGTTTCTCTTCATCCACCCTCTCCTTCTTTTTTCCAATCCCGGAGAATCGATTTTTTTCCACGAGGTCCTGGCAATTTCAAACTGCTATATACCCGTCCTTTTTTTTTTTTTTTTTTTTTTTTTTAAACGAATAGTATGCTTCATTATACATATAGCAAAAGGAGGCCGGGAATCCCTCCACATCTCAACCCGGAGGACTGGGGCTATATACCCGTCCTCTTTTCCTCGTGGCCGCGTTTTCTGAAAAATTAATCTCCCGCGTTTTCGTATCCTGTCATCCTCTCTCTTTGGAAACGCGGGAAATGAAGTTTTCAGAAAGGCTTTAAATTTCAAACAAATTGCTAACATACCCTCGCTTTCCTGTTTGTCTCTCCTTTTTGTTCTTTTTCCTTGTGATCGATCCTCCCTCTCTCTCCTCAGCATTTTCTTTTCTCCTTCGTTCTAGTCGCCTTCTTTCTCCTCCTCCACCTCCTCTTTCCCTTTCCCGATAATTTTCAATGTTCAGATTTTGATGAGTCGCTTTCGTTCCAGTCGCCTTCTTTCTCCTCCTCGACCTCCTTTTTTCGTTACTATTCCCCCCGCCTTTCCCCTGCCCTTCCCCCCGCCCGCCGCGGCCCTCCGCCGGCCGAATCAGATCCCGCGCGACATCGGCTTTCGTCTCTCGCTGTCTTCGCCGAAGCCTCCGGAAGCGCAGCTCCGAACACGAACATCGCCCTCTCTCTCTCCCTCTCTCCCTTCCTCAGACCCTTCCTCCCACCCTTCCTCCCACCCTTCCTCCCTCTCTCTCTCTTCGTGATGACGTCCCTCTCTCTCTTTCTCTTTCTCTCTCTCTCTCCCTCTCCCTTTCCCCCTTCCTCCCACCCTTCCTCCCTCCCTCTCTCTCTTCGTGATGACGTCCCTCTCTCTTTCTCTCTCTCTCTCTCCCTTTCCCCCTTCCTCCCACCCTTCCTCCCACCCTTCCTCCCTCCCTCTCTCTCTCTTCGTGATGACGTCCCGCTCCGCGTACATGCAAACGCAGAGATTCGTGTTCTACCGCCGCCTCGCGCACTGAGGTCGCGCGCACCTCGTGGGGAAGAGTAATGCAGTGGGATGAGGGGGAAGAAAAAAAACCAAAACAAAACCGAGGGGTCGGCGAATCACCGAAAAGAAAGGAAAAACGCAGCGCGCGGGAGATGACGTTAATTAACCCCGATCGCGCCATGCCATTCCGCCTGTCGATGACCGGTAGTCGTTTACCGTTTGGGGCCTCTACCGGTGGAGCCGTACTCTGGCCATTTCGGGTTCTCTGGGAAACCAGCGCCTCGTCTTGGAAAAAGAAAGGAAGGAATTCTCCCTTACTTACAGTATTATATCTCCGTATCTCCAAATAAAAATAACTTTGCGAAGAATACGGTGCTACATAGTAAGAATCATAATTGGCCCAAGATTATAGATCATCCATGCTCTGGAACCGTATGTATGAGTTCACATGACTACCAAAAGTAAAGATGTTTTCATTATTAGTTAGTGTGATTACCATTTGATTGATGAATTCGAATAGAGTCCGATACCATTGACGATTCAGATCTACTAATATATTAATATAATTATTAATAAGAATTTGATTGAGTGGTGAATAATAATACCTATATATACTGTGATGTGAAGTCCATCAGCATTGAAGTTCACTCGCTTTTCACTTTTTTGGGGGACTTCCTTGCAGTGGTTCAAGTGGGACTACCTGTCTTTTCGCCCGAATAGAACGCCCGGTCATTACAGCTGTATTTGTTCGAGCTTTCAGTCCAGGTGCAGCAAGAAGTACCGGGCGTTCTATTCAGGTGAAGAGTGTACTGTAGATCTGTAATACGTGACTCCACGTACGAAGGATTTATCATACATACATCCGTTGTCCAAGTGGGACTTCGTTATGGTATGATTTTGTTCATTGTGTCAGAAGTAATATTTTTTTGTAGCCTTTTTTTGGGGCTTTCTTTGTGTGTGATTGCAGGATCTGATGCGTGATTCGTCCCATGGACCACGACAGACCGAGATGGGTGTACATCCCAGAAGCACCAGGTCATCACTACATCCAGCGATGCAAGTGAAAACAAGAATCATTGGTGGTGTGACTGGAGTGATGCATGTGAAAACAAGGATGGTGGTGTGACTGGAGTGATGAATGTGAAAACAAGGATGGTGGTGTGACTGGAGTGATGGATGTGAAAACAAGGATGGTGGTGTGACTGGAGTGATGGATGTGAAAACAAGGATGGTGGTGTGACTGGAGTGATGGATGTGAAAACAAGGATGGTGGTGTGACTGGGAAGAAACAGACATGGCAGCTGCGTGGATTTTATTTTTTCAGAGTGTCGAGGAGGAGGTAGACGAGGAGTTGGGCCAGGCCAGGGACGAGTAGAACCGAGTACACTAGAAGAGTACACTGGAAGAGTACACTGGAAGAGTAGGGATGAGAAGAAACCGGGGAAAGTCGAAGAGTGGGGATGAATGAATGTGGAGAGAGCGGAAGAGTGGCGGGTTAGGGGAGCGGGAGGAGAAGCTGGGTGTAGAGGAGGAGGAGGAGGAGGAGGAGGAGGAGTAGTGTTGGGAAGAAAGAGAGGTTGTTATTACGACGAATGCTTTCGTGTAACGGTGGCCGGTCGTCGAGCGATCGAAAGGAGGAGGAGGAAGAAGAAGAAGAAGAAGAAGAAGAAGAAGAAGAAGACGAAGAAGAAAGACGAAGAAGAAAGACGAAGAAGAAAGACGAAGCAGAGGACGTTGGTAATTGAATGGAATGACTCTGGACTTTTTTTTTTTTTTTTTTTTTTCCCCCTCTTGCCTTTGTTCCGGGATGCGAAGCGAAGGCGACCACGATAACAGTAGGAGTGTATCCATTTGATGCTAGTGAGGGGAGCGCGGGGGATGAGATTGGGGAGGTGAACGTCGGTGCTGTTGGGGATGATGTTGAAGACCAGAGGGACATGGTGGTGATGGCAGCGGAGATTGTCTGCGAAAAAGGGGGGGAGTCAAAGAAGGGATGGAGGAGGGAAAGGAGAAGAGGAGAGTGACAGCGGCGCGGTGAAGATGGTGATGGGAATGACGGTGGGGATGGTGATGACACCGGCGCGGATGGTGACGACAACGACGACGATGATGCTGAGAGAGAGGGAGAATGTAGGGAGGACGAAAATGGTGGTGAGAGAGAGGGAGAATGCACCCAAGCGCTTTACAGGGGAAGAGGGGTGCGAATGATTCCCGAAGAACGGATCTTGAGCCCGCCGCCGCCGCCGCCGCCGCCGTCGTCTTTGCCCAGTGTGAAAAGGGGGGCGGGAAACAAGCTTTTTTGGGATCCGCAGACAAGCGGCGAAGATGGTGAGGTTGTTGCCCTTCAGATCTCGTGTGAACAGCAGCGATGACGATGCAGCGTGCGATGAGATTCCCAGGGAAATCACGAAAACGCCGAGCAAGACGGGCGATAGCGGATGGCTTCTTCGGTTCTTTGACTCATCCTTCTTCAACGAGTGGATCGCTGTGTCGTACCTTTATAAGCATGAGCACACGGGGGTGAGGGATTACCTTTGTAATCGGATGTACACACTCTCCGAGAGTGGGGTGGAGAACTACCTCTTCCAGCTGTGCTACATGCTAGTCCATCGGCCCAGCGCGTCTCTGGACAGGTATGTGGTGGACATGTGCTCAAGGTCTTTGAGGATTTCAATCAAAGTGTATTGGTTTTTGCTGGCAGAGGCGGAAGATTCAGAGAACTCGACGGAGATATGGAAGTTGATTGAGCGGTGTGAGGAGGCGGTGCTTCGGGCGGATTGGAAGCCACCGTTCAGGCCGGGGGGGAAGGCGGCGGGGGGGGGGGGGGGGGGGGCTCTGAGTCGGGGAGGAGGAGGAGGAAGGGGGGCAGAAGATGGCGCGAGCAGCAAAGGCGGCGGAAGACGGCTTCTGGCGCGCTTATCTTCCCCCCGCAAATTGTTGTCGTTTCCGGCGTCGGCTTTGGCTTATTACCCTTCTCCTCGGAAGGGAAGCAGCAGCAGTCAGAAGGAGCAGAGGAAGACGGCGACTTCAGGGGGGAGCAGCAGCAGCAGCGCCGTCGGGGGCATCCCTAAGGGAGCAGCAAGCTGGGGGATGGTCGCGGGGTGCGGCGGCATTCTGCCCTCTCCATCCGGTCGCAGCGCACAAGGCGCGCAAGGCGGCACGTCGGGATCTGAAGACGCGGATTCGGAGACGTCGATGTCGACTAGGAAAGCAGGAGAAGGGCGGCGTGAAGGAGGTAGCGGCGGGGGGGTGGCGGGTGCTGCTGACGAGGGGGAGAGCACGCCGCGATTGCTCAAGCGCTTTTTGTCGGGGCCGAAGATGAGAAGGAACCTGAAGAAAGTGTTCAGGGAGAAGGAGAATGGAAAGACGATGGGGGGGGGGGGGGAAGAAGAAGGGGGGGCTGCCACCGCTGCGGCTGGCATCGCAACGATGACGGTTAAGAAGAAGAGGGGGGGGGGTGTGGGGAGCGGAGGGAGCGGGGACGATGGGGAGGGCTTTCTTCGAAAGCTCTTCCGAGAGAGGGTGGAAGAGGACGAGAAGGCGGCCGCTGGTTCGTCTGCCTGGACAGCCGCCATGCCTACAAGAGGGGCAGAGGACTCTGACAGCTTTTTTAGGAGGTTTTTCAAGGAGAAGGCTGAGGAAGAGGACAAGTCCGGTGTGGGTAGGAGGTTGTCGAAGGAGAAGGGTGGAGAAGAGGAGAAGGCAGGTAGTGGTGGTCGTAGGGTGGGAGGAGGGAGGGAGGGACGTAAGGGTGGTCGCGGGGGAGAGGTGCGTGTGCCGAGGAAGTTGTTCGAGGACGTGCCTGAGGAGGAGGAGGAGGAGGAGAAGGTGGGGGGTGGGTGGAAAGCAGGGGGAGGGGTAGAAGAGGCGGAGGGCTTTTCTCTGCGAAGGCTTTTTCCGACGACAGCGGCATTTAGGGTTGCTGCGGCTGTGGAGGAAGAGAAAGGGGAGAGTGAAAGCTCCTTCTTCAAGAAATGGTGGAGAGAGAGGCCGGAGGAGGAAGAACGGGCGAAGATGGAGGAAGGAATGTCGATGGACGAGGGGAAGGAGGAGGGGAGGGAGGGTGAGAGAGAGGAGGAGGGAGGGGCACCCCCTCCGCCGGCAGCGGAAGATGCTTGCGAGTTGGCCAAGGAGGATGGGTTTTTCCGAAAGTTTTTCCGAGATAAGGGGGACGCGGAGGAGGAGAAGTCGGATGGGGAGGGTTTTTTCCGCAAATGGTTCCGGGATAGGGGGGGCAGTTCTGACGACGAGAGGGGCTCTGCTGGCGCTCTGCCGGCTTCCCATAGGACGATGGGAGCGGGGGGTGGTGGAGGGGGTGGGGACGAAGGAGCAGAGGGTTTTTTTCTCCGGAGGTTTCTGTTTCGAGAGAAGGGAGAAGGGGAGGTAGATGCAGGGGACAGCAACAGGAACAGCTTTCCTCGATCTGAAGGCGAGGGTCCTGATGGGTCCTTCCTTCGGCGGTTCTTTAGAGACAGTAAGACGGCGGATGTTTTATTGGGAGACACAGCTGGCAGTGGTTTGACCGAACCTCAACAACAACAACCTGCTGAACTTGGCTGCAATTCTCCTCCTCCTCCTCCTCCTCCTCCTCCTGCTGCGCCTTCTCCTTCTCCTCCTCCTAATCCTCATTCCGCTGCTGCTGCTCCTGCCTCTCGTCGTCTGTCTCCATTCCGCTCTGCTTCTCGAGAAGGAGGGCGCGAATCCGCCTCGAACAGCGAGAGAATTGAGAAGAGGAGGTCGATCAGTGTTGCTTCTCCGCCACCTCTTAACGGATGCTACCCTCTAGAGACTGTAGTAGAAGAAGTGCTTACGACGTCTGTAGGCAGGTCCTCGTCGGTGGATGGAGAAGATCTCGACGGCAGGGCGACGGTGAAGGAAGAGGAGAATTCTTGTGCCACGTATGGGAATGGCGATGAAGCTGGATGTACTGTGAACCAGGACGAACTTGTCGACCAGGAGGGTCAGAACTCGCACCAGCTGCCCAAGGTAGGGAGAACGGGAGGGGAGCAAGGACAGCTAGGGTGCGCGATGGAGGAAGGGGTTGGTGGTCCCGGCGGAAATGCCCGGGTGCTTGCCGACCTGGCGACCTGGCCTGTTGCTGCTGCCGGAAACAACTCTTCGGGCAGGGGTCGAGAGGAGGGTAATGGGTTGAATCCGTCTTATGTGGATGATGCCAATGGGGAGAGGGAGGAGAGGGAGGAGAAGGTGGAGGAGGAAGCAGGACAAGAAAGAACCACAAGGAGCACGGAGGGGGAGGTTTCGCAAAGGGCGCAGGGCGGGGATTCGGGAAAAGAGGAAGTGTTGAGCGCAGTTCACACATCCAACGAGCGGGTGTGTCCTCTCATGACCGGATTGACCAAGGGTGGAGGAGAAGGGGAGGGTGAGCGGATGGAGAGGGAGAGACGGGAAGGCGTAGAAGGAGAGGGAGAGGGGGAGGGGAAGGGGGTGGCGACAGGAGGAAGTGTGAGTCCTGCTGAGGAAGCACGTGAGGAGGCGGAGAAAGCGGGGGAAAGGGAGGTGATGGTGGAGGACATGAGGGGTGGGAGGAGGGCACACGAGGAGGAAAAGCCCGAAGCCGAATCTTCGAAAGAGGGTGGAAGTTCAGCTGCAGAGGCGGGAGCAATAGGAGAAGTGGGAGGGGTAGGGATCGCTACTACGGAGCCCAAGTGGAACCTGTTTGGAAGAGTGAAAAAGCTGTGGCCTTTATCTGATGACACAGGGGATAAAGAGGAAAGAGAGAGTGCGAGTGTGCAGTCCGATCATCACCCACTTAAGTCAGGTTCTCCTAGTCTTCCTCCCCCATCCAATGCCGCAGTTGCCGCTGCTGCCGCCGCTGCTGCTTCGGCCGCTTCTGCCGCCGTTGTCGCCGGAGGTTTACTGGCAGCAACGAGCAGAACGCTATTTGGCTCCTTTGCTAGTGGAAGCAGAGAAAAGCCAGGAGGAGAGGGAAGGGAGAAGAGTGGAACTTTGTATGAAGATGCAGCGACTGAAGACGAATCCACTAGAAGAGAAGCGACTGAAGACGAATCCACTAGAAGAGAAGGTACGAGGGACGATGAAACAGAAGGCACGGAAGAAGAGATGGGCGGTGCCGTTTCTGGTGGCGAGTCTGTCATTAGCATTTTCACAAGGAGCCGGACCAGCGAAAGGGCATTTAGCAAGGTGGGTGGCTTTCTCAGTCTGCCTGTGCCTTCTTCTCGATTTTTTTTTCTTCTCAAAAAAAAAAAAATTCCTCTCCCTTTTTCGTCAGCTTTTCCTTTCCATCTTCCTCGCTCAAAAAAAAAATTCTTCCTCTCCTTTTCCGTCTCCCTTTTCTTTGTTTTGAAAGCTGACGTATTCAATTGACTTGGGGAAGCATCGAAAAGAAGCTAAATAAAGCAAAACCTATCCAAACACTAAAAATAGAAATGTAGCTTCATTATATGCCCTTGTCTACTCTACTACTCCTTTGCGGCCCACCTGGCAGACACGTATTGTGGTCTTCATGTGGTCTTACAGTATCAATCAAATACGAACGTATCAAATACGAACGTATCACCTCCCCCTTCTCCCCCCCCCCCCCCCCCCCCCCCACCTCAGCGGTGTCTAATGACCAACACGGTTTCGGTTGC